ATTGGGGCTTTATATTGGTTTTTCAACATCGAAAACAAATTCTTCATATAAATGAAGAAAAACAAGACCTGATGACTCTGTTCTGTATGGTCACAAACTTTTCATTTAAGCAAACACTGAACAAGTTAAAATGGCTGCCATGCTTCTGTGGAAAACTGTTCCATACCTGCCTTGCTGCCTTTTATTTTTTGTGACTAAAGAAAATGCAGACTGCTGTGTAACTGTAATTCTCAAACATTTTCCGTGATTGTTGCTGTTTTTTAATGTCTGTCTGTAGCATGGAATAACTACAAATCCCTGGAATTGACAGGATAGCTTGAATGAAGCCAAGCACCTCTTACAAGGGATATATTTGTGTTGGGTGGAGTTAAGGGTATTCTGAGGGTAATGTACCACTTTAGTTGTATATGCATGTGTTCTCTGCTGCAGGCTTGCCCATGCGATCGTGCCTAGAGCACTCTGGTTTCCAGGTGACAGACACGATTCACGGTATAGTATGAGATCTCTGAAGTTGGAGCATTCTCTACAGCTTTCTTATTTTTTTTTAAGTTCTGGGGTTTGATATGTTTAGAAAATAGTAAAAGCTAAGTAACACAGCTGCTGTTTATGCTGTTTAAAATGTAATGAGTAACTGCAAATACAAAAATATTCCACATTCCTTTCCTCTGCTCCCTCATTGGAGAATGGTAACTTTGTCTGAAGTCAAGAGGATTAGAGATGTCTTGATTCAAGATGGTTCCTAGTGCAGGTCCTAAAAACACAAGCCCACCAGTTCCAAATTGCTAAGATTTAGATGTAGTTTCTCTGGTCTCATTTTCATTCAGACTTCTTTAAAAAGATACAACCCAAGCAGTAATTCAGCAAGAACTCAATCCTTGAATCAAAATATATTCTCTTCTGTTTAATAACAAACTCTGGGCATCCCTCTTCTGGGTAGCTTGCATGTTATTTTTGACCATCTGTCTTCAGAGTCTTAGGAGGACTTCCAGTTTCTACTCCTACTCCTACTCACTCTGTTCCTTGGTTATTACAGTTCTTGACCAGAAATCAGGGTTTGAGAATTTCCATTCTGTAACTTTTATTATGTGTTTTGGCTTTTTGAAATAGCCACCAGCTATGGAGGAAATCAACGAAGTTGCATGTTGCAAACAAGCTTGCAAATTAGCTGGGAACAACTGCAAAGCAAACCTAACAAACTGCACCACCCTCAGTCGTGCATGAGCATGTGCTGACCGACTACTTTCAAAGGCTCAGAGTTATGTGTTCCTCTTCCAATTAGAAGCCATCTTGTCCAGTAAATCCTGGGATATTAGAAAGAATGAATAACTTAAATTCTCATTGTCAAACTGGCTCGTGGTCAGTATTGATATAAACCAGTTATGTTCTTAATACTTAAACTGAGACCAAAAAACCATCTTTGCTGTCTCTGAAGTCATCCGCCATCTTCACTATCTAACAAAGAAGCCTTCAACACAGGTCAACAGTACAGGGTTGGAGTGGGGGGAAAAGTAAAGATTGATTACTCAAAATCAAAGGTCTATTTGGGGGGAATCATCACTGGCTTCTAGCTCTAAAGACTTACAACAACTTTTCTATTCTCCCTATCCCTTCTCCTCATCTTCGTATTGCGAAGTTGATTTCACTGGCACATATTAATCTTTAATTTATTAGATTTACTTATAATCTGCTTTGGAAGCAAATTTCTTTATGCAATAACAAACACTAAGGCTATGTCTACACTTGCAGCTTCTTGCGTGAGTAATATGCAAATGAGGCTAAGCGTGGAATATCGCTGAGCCTCATTTGCACACCTAATGAGCCACCATTTTTTTTCAGAAGAGGCTCTTGCACAAGGAGGAGTGTCTACGCTGCCCCTTCTTGCGCAATGCCGTTCTTCCTGAAAAGTAATAGGTGTAACGGCATTGCGCAAGAGGGCTTTTCTTGCGCAAGAAGGGGCAGCGTAGACACTCCTCCTTGTGCAAGAGGGTGGCTCATTAGGTATGCAAATGAGGCTCAGCAATATTCCACACTTAGCCTCATTTGCATATTACTCGCACAAGAAGCCGTGTGTGTAGACATAGCCTAACAGTCCTACTTTAAGGAATGGTGGACCACCACTTTAAAATGGATTTCAGAACATGTACATCTAGCAAACTATTTCCTTACAGAAATCTTGGGTGCCATTTAATCCTGATTCACTACTTCAAATAGTTCATTGCTTCTAAAAGTCTCTTCCTTTGATCTTAAAGCAAATATTAGATCAATCACATTGGCTCTTAAACTAGAGTTGTACTTCCTGAGCTTCTGATAACAATTCATTATGTGAAAATTGCATTCTTGTTTTGGCTGGCTGGTCAGGAGTTGGTGAATTACATGCAGTGGCTGGTTTCTGAGCGGTGGTGTAAAAAAAGGTTCTGTGCTTCAAACACTAGTCTTGCAGAGGACTTCCTGGTTTTTCTCAACTAAATTAAAATTATACTTTTTTTTCCCTTTATTCTGATATCTACGTCTTAAGCTTTACTTACCCAAAGATATGTCCGAAAGTATTCACTAGTTAAAGATTCTTCTTGACAGTCATCATAGGAGCTTTATCTAATTTTGTATCGTGACTAGATGGATAGCTTGAGAACACTACTCAACTCTAACCTACTCACAATTGCAAATCATTTATTATGTAACTTTTTTTCCACATTCCATCTTCTGTCTTGCTTGGACACATAATATTCTGGGCTGAGGCAAGGGGGAAAAAAAGGAATGTCATTTTTCTGATGACTCTGAAATATACATTCCTTGTTACTTTCTCCTAAAGATACAGTACAATAGATCCATTAAGAGTCTCACGCATCAGTCTGAAGAATATTCATAGAGTATTGATCCGTCTCTTAATACTGGTATGACCCAAATCAGTTAAAAATGAGATACCCATTCAGGTCTTGGAAAAAAATCTAATCCACTTAACTTCTGATAAAACTAAACTGTTCTAGGAGCATCATGAAGCAGGAAAGACTCCTGGATGGTGAGTAATCCTTTGGCTGTTGTTCCAAGAATATTCAGTAAAATGCAAAAGTTGTATTGACATAGGCAATGCTTTTCAGAGGAGTTTTTTGTACAAGGTTTAACATTATTGCTTAATTACTTATCAGGCTGAGTGAGTGGCTAGACTAATTATTGAAAGGAATAAATACTAATTTAGTAGCCTTCATATTGTCTGCTAGGAGCATAGTATCTTAGTTGAATAGGAAGTATTTTCTGAAAGATTTTTTTTTTTAATTTCTATCAACTACATCCTGGCTGTAACTTTTGAAATACATACCATAGCTGTACAGTTTGTGTAAATCATTAGTTTGCTGTGTGGTACTTAGGGCAGATGGTGATGTTTAACTTGTATTTTGTTCAGTCCACACTTCTTCCCCGGTACGGATATGTTGTTAGAGCTTTGGAACAAAGGTATACTCATAGTTCCATGAACCAAATGTTTCTGTTCAGAACATGAGATGGAGGCTTCTTTTATGGGCCTTCACCCTTAGTGTGGTTTAAATACCCAAACAGTAATGTTGCAACAAAATTGCAATATCAATAGCAGCCACACAAATGCTGAATAGAACTAGACAAATACTTGCTTATTTATTTTCTTGCCTTCAACCCCTTCAAGAGACTATGGGTTTTTATTCCCATTTGCATTTTAAATGTGTGACTATTAAAAGCATGTGCCACTGAGGGTTCAGCTGCTGAGGGCATATGACTTGCTAACATTTTGAAATTGCTTTATGATGGCTGTTAACATAGCATAATGCATTATGCATAAAATTGGTTAATGATTTGTTTGTATTAAATTTCATCAAGCATCTTATGTTTGTCCTCTACATACATTCATAAAATTTGTTTGAAAACATAAATTCTGTACTTACAAGAACCTTCAGTACATCTAAAAAATAGGATACACATCTAGTAGGTTAGTATTAAAATTGATTTAAATATTCCTGGAAACTAAAAGATCTGATTATCTAGATACAGCAAAGCAGTTACTCTGCAAGCTTTCTATTGTAACTCTGCCAAGATAGGTCTATATTGAAAAGACTGCAGCAACACAGCTATACCTGTATTTCTGTATTGCTTCAGTGCAGATGTCATGCTGACAGGAGCACTTCTTCCGTTGGCATAGTTAACTACTGCTGCTTGCAGTGAGAAACACTCTCCTCAACTAGCATGGTTTATGGCGGGGAGGGGTGTTTGGTTAGTATAACTGCATCTCAAAGATGTGGATTTTTCACAGCCCTGAACACTGTAGTTATAACAGTGTAAGCCTGTAGTGTAGACAGGGCCTAAATGTCTTCGCTGTTAAATTACTTACCGGGAGGGAGAAGAGATTTCCAATGTTAAATGTACAATTTCCATAAGGTCTTAAAGTTCTTCTAAACTGTCAACAAATCAAAATCCAGTGTGAAATACTGGAAAATAGCTTTCAGTATATTATGGCAGTGGTTTGAGCTCAATGGCACATCCTTTGAAAGCTTTGGAGTAAACTATTGTATGCAGTGAGATAAAAATGGTGTGGTTAGATGTTGGAGACTAGTGTTGTAGATATGATTAAATCAGTGGACAGTTAAATAGTCAACTGTAGCTTTTTTTTGTGTGTGGTGGTTTGTACTCCCTCTGTTCTGGTGGCTGCTGATCATGTTGGCTTTCATCTTCTCACTACTTAACTTTTCTCATTCATAGAGGTCCTGTAATAAAGGAGGCTCTGGACAGGCTCAGAAGGAAAATGACTTGCAGGTAAGTAACTCTGGTTAGTTACGCATTCCATAGAGAGGACTCTGTGCCTTTCTCAACATGGGTATGTATAGCCACTGCTGCTCTTGGAATTGGCTCTTGTTCTTAGCCACTGACCTACAAAAATAAAGGTAGCTCAGTTATTTGCTGTCTTTTGCAGTCATCTTTCCTGCATCCTTCCAGTGCTTTTGGTTTAAATGCCAAAAGGACTGCATACCAAAGATTTGTGACTTCAAGAACACTTACAATGTGGAGGATGTCTCAAAGTTGCCAAAATGTTTCTTGCTTACAGGTTAATTCTTTATAATACTAAATATGGAGTTTATTCTTACGTGAGAGATATCATTGGCACAGGTTTCTCATTCCTCGTTCATGCCATGATCTAGAGTGGTAGAACTCCCTGGCAGTTGTCCTGAGTCAGGAGCAATAGAACATGAACCAGGTGCAAGCCATTCTGCAACACCATTTTGCTATCCTGTCACTTCTAACTGTGGTTGGAGAAGAAGGGAAATTTGTACGCTTGAGGCTATTTCAAGGAGACTTAACAGCTTCCAGGGTGAAAAGATCAACATTAGTAGAAATATTCAGGGTTCTTATGTAGTTATCTATCAGTTAACAAAATACAATAATATATGTTGATAGGTCTGTGCTGTCCTGGGTAGCACTTGACAAACTTGGGGTCAGGATTTTCTTTTTCAATCCTGTAAGGATAAGTACTTATAAAGATGTTGAACAGGTTTACTAATTTATATATATAAATACATTATTCTCAGTGTTGCTTGAGTCCTTAACTCAATTAACTACTTTCCTTCATTTCATTTTTAAAAACAAATGTACATGCTTGATGTAAAACATTGTTCTGGGGTGGGGTTGGCGCGGAGGGGTTCAGTGTGCAGGCTGCTCTGAGGAGAGAGGACTACCCCAGCCCTCTCACCACAGCAGCTTGAGACCAAGTGAGAACTACAGCTTCAGCAGGCACAGCCAGGAAAGAGGTGCATATCCCCCAGCTGGGGCAGATCCAGGTTGTCTATCCCCTGTGCTCCCCAGCCAGAAGGAGGAATTCAGCAAGCTTCATGCTTTCCTTTTGTTGCCTGAAGGGAAACAACCAGCAACAGTCTCCCTAAATGGTGCATGGGGATGGGAGGCTCAGGGCTGGATGGGGGGAAGGGGAGGCACCCCCCTAGTCATGCCCTTTCACTGCTTGGTGATCTGTGTCTCTTCTGTGTGGCTTTATGAGAAGCAATCCCATTCCGGGCACATCCCACTTTCCTGGCACAACCAACTCATACCTTGCTTTAAATGGGAGGAAGCTGTATACCACATTTGGTCATTGTAGCTCTTAACGTTTAGGAGAAGTTCTTGAACAAACAGACACATTGACAAACTCAAATATATAGAAGATCTAGGAAAACCTAGCTAACAAGAGCAAGGATCAAGTGACCTAAGACTGAATTGCTGATTGGGAAATATTTACAGTGGATATTTGGCTGCAGGTGTCAATGTGCAACTTTCAGAACATACTTTCTGAAAGTGATAGAACTTCAAAACCCCTGAAGCTTTGGCTCTGCACAAATCATATTGCCTATGAGTGTGCCTGCAGTTCTTTGCTTAGCTTTGTAACCTTGAAACATCATTTTAATTAGTTTCCAGGTTAAAAATTAACAGGTCACTTTATACTGCCTAAAATACAGTACAGAATCCCTTTTTCAAAGGCATTAAGGTAAATCATTAACCCAGTAATATGTCAGTTTCTAAGGGACTACTTAATCAGATTTGTGGTGATAAACTTGCTTTTAATGTAAACTGCAGCATTAGATCTAAAAAAAATTGGTGTAGGTAAACAGTAGTATGACTTGACCATATAGATCGATATTTACAATGACAGGTTTTCAAGTGTGGCTTTTTTTTTTTGCTATTTCCAAACAGTACATGTGGATTAAGTGTATGAAAGGTGGAGAAGCAGAAAAGATTAATCAGACAGGTTCATAGAACAACTGCACTGACCTGCTTAACAATTGTCCTAGCTCTCTAATGCAGTATTCCAGAGCTTGTCCTTGGAATTCATTCCAAAGCAGGCTATTACCTGTTTCTAACTTTTAGTCCAACAATAAACTCATGCACATACTGTGATGTAATACATGAGGGTCTCACTAGTGATGGTCAGATTTGTTTACATTCAGATCCATGTAAATGCTTTAGCTTAGACTCTTGGGGCTTTCTAGATTCTTGCCATACCATTGGTCTTAAAACAGTTGAATAAGCTTTACCAAAAAGCTTATACATCTTCTATAGGAATATCAAAGTTTCTAGATTTTTCTCAAATTGTTAACCATGTAATTGTTAACAATTTTTGTCTTCCATAATTTGGCTATTGCATCTTAATGCTGGCTAAGGCAGATGAAGAAACTGTCATGTAAAAAATTTATAGAGTACATGAAATTTCATCCCCTCATAACTTATCCCCTTCTCATACATCAAAAGTGCTAGGCCACTTGCTTGTTCCAAGTTATGAAGAAGGCTTATGCAAAAGCATAATCCATTGTTCTGCCCCACCAACAAAGTGTGACTCCCTGATCCTTTGTTGCCCAGGGATAGGTATTCAGTTTGTGTTATCTTCCAAAAAGGTGGTATTGTAATTCTACCTTTCTGAATCCACTTTTTTGAGTCCCCATTTCTCTCCCAGCTTTCCTTAGACTGAAAGTCAAAATCTTACCTAATGCTCAAGGAATATTTGACAGAGCTAGGTCTTTGTGAATAAGTTATTTGTCTTTTAGTTCAAGGAGAGATTAGAAGAAATCCAGGGAAATATCTTCAGAGATGTAGAATTACAGACAAACAGTTTCTTCAGCTTTGTCTAAGTAAAACATGCCTTCTAATTAGCAACCTGCCATATAAAGGCCAGGTCTACACTAGACCAGGCAGCTTGGCTTAAGGTACTCAACTCCAGTTAGGCAGAATTCATTGCTGGAGTCAGCTTACCTTAAGACAAGCTTGTGGGTGTCCCCACAATGGAAGGCTGCTGAGAGAAAACATTCCCATTGGCTTCTCTTACTCCTCACAAAAAAGGGGAGGTACCAGATGCTGGTAGGGACACCCTCTGAGTCTGATTTAATGAGTCTTAATTAGGCTCACTGAATCCAACTCTAGAAGATCAATCATGGCAGCTGCAATCTTTGTAGACAAGACCTAAGTACCTTCAGAGGAGAGTGCCAATTCACCTTGCAGAAATAAGGAAGTATGACTATACAAATACTATTCATTTTGGAGCCATGGTGCCAGTTTACTTGACACTTTAAAACTTAGATGCCCCAGAGTGCCTAGTCATGAACTGGGTATTTGTTAAAAAATTGGTGCTTCTGCTACCATGTTGAATATCCATTCTAACTTGAATTATGGTACTTGGCAGATGCTTCCACAAGGGCATGTGAAACTATGGAGAGTATCTGTTAAATGCATTAATTCTGCTTCAGGAAATGAAGTTGAGAATGCTGTATGAAGAAAGGGGGCACAACCATTACGTGCTGCATGTAGTAGTCAGATTTACCACTGGCACAATTCTGAGATCCTTAGGCTTAGCTGCTTATATTTTAACTCTCTTAAATACTTGTGGATATCTTTCTGTCCTTTACATCTTGCACTGTCAAATTAGAGACATCCAAAAGGGCTTCCACCAGAACTTCTTAAAACTAGTACAAAAACTTCCATGATACACAACCTTAATTTGGAAGATGAGTCACTGTGGTATCTAATTGCAGCATACATTTTGAAGTCAGTCTCTCCAGAGATGTCCCAAACCTAGATTTAGGTTCCTTACTCAGGAATCCAGTGTAGATGCTATTTTTCTGAAGGCAATGTTGATGGGGCCATTCTGCCTTTTGGGTTAGAGGTAGCTTTGTACATGAAGATCAATCAATTCCCCTTGTTTCTGCAGACACTTGATGTGTTGGGAAGGGGCTTCAAGAGCAAAGGACACGGTGGAGGGAAATCCAGAGTATCTGGTCTCTGGCATCTTGAAGGTGGCAGGAGGGGAGAATCTTCAGAGGTTTAAGATGCCCACACGGACCTTACAAGCCTTAGATATATTGGAGGAGTATTCTGCCCCCTAGATGTTTGCCTGCTTGCATACTTGGGCAGGCACCAGTGCATCTATTCATATTTGGTTCATGTCCTCATGTTTTTTCAGCTGTGAGGGCCAGAGATGGTCAGTACAGCTGCAGTACTAACTATAGTACAAATACAATGAGACCAAGAAAAGCATTATGAAGTCAAAACTTTGAGAAACTAAAGAGAACACCATGGAGAACAAGACCAGGAGCCAGACAAAGCCAAAAGGGAACTGCTGGAGGCAGGAGTAGGGTAAGCGGCAGGCTTCAGAGCACACTTTCAAGTGAACAGGAACAAGAAAGGCATTCTGCACCCCACTATCTGAAACCACTTTTCAGCCTATCTAATGCCAAAAAGTGTTAGAGCTCAGTATTAAAAATTGTCATGACTTCTTACATTGTATAAACTCTCCTGGGCAGAGTCTGTCTTTCTATTTATCTCCAACTCCTTAAGTATCTTCATCAGACCTTTGGGATTTACTGTATTACAAATAACTTCTTACCATAACAGCAGATCCTATAGTGCTTCTTGTATATTATGGTTTGTACATCTTTATAGAGCAATTCTTGGTCATGGTGGCACCTACATTTCTGTGTAGCAATGTGTAGAAAAGTCATCATGGCTTATTTCTAATTCCTTTTCATTCATGTAAAAATATGTTGACAAATGTGATCATGTCATGCTGCTGCTGGCATCTTTTAAAGGAGTGGCTGCTTTTGTAGAAGATAATTTTAAACGTGATGCTTGCATAGCTATTAGTATATTTAATAGTTTTGATTTGTTTCCTAGAGATGGAGCCAGAGACATAATATAAATCTATTCGTATTAGGGTTTTATAAGACACTGTTGTTTTTTTTTTTTTTCCTCCCATAATTGTTTTGAACCAGGTTCTTACCTTATACTCCTGAAAATAGGAATAGCTTGGTTACTAAAATATTTTTGTATTGTAACCCTACATTTTAATAACACTTTTCCTTGCTTATTAACCATCTATGAATTTTGCAGTGATTGACTATTGATATGTTAAGCTTTCAGTAGAGACTTTATATTCTACACTTCATGGATAAATAACCATGAAAATGGTATCCACATTGTAGTGAGTTTAAACTTGACAGGAGTTGCTTGTAAAGAATAGTGAGCAATTTCCAGGGAGGCACTAGGAACCAATGGGCTTCTTTCATAATTTCATTGACTAAAGTTTTCTCCTGAAACTGTAACCCTGCCTGGGTTTCATATTCTTTCTGTTGATCTTTTTTTTTTTAATTGTCCCCCTTCTCTCCCCCCTCTCCCCCTGGTGCAAAAAAAGCCAAAATCAGCAGAAATCAGTGTATTTAAAAACTTAATACTAAATAAACTTTCACTTTGGGAGCTTTAGTCTTCCGCATACTAAACTTAATCCTTCTGTAAACTTTTTACCTTAATTTTATACAGGGTGCAGAAGCCATGGTTCTGGAGAGTGTTATGTTTGCCATTCTCGCAGAGAGAAATCTTGGCCCAAAGCTGTATGGAATCTTTCCACAAGGCCGATTAGAGGAATTCATTCCAGTGAGTCACTTCATGATTAATCAACAGGCTAGTAGCTGTAGAATGTTGTAATTGAACATGATTGGGGACTGTCTTTGGACTATATACAAAAACAGATGTGGGAATGAAATACTCGGTACTTGTAGTTGTTAGTCTTAATTTGTTGCTCTAACTAGACTTCCTCACTCTAATGGGGGGGGCTGGCTATGTCCCTAAACATTTCTGCAGTTGAAAAAGATCATAATAAATATGGGATGAACTAAGCTTGAGAGCAGTCATTCTGTTAACAATCAAAAGAATGGCTCAGAAGGCACATTTATTTTCTTCAATGACTCCCCTAATGTATACACTGGACTTTGGGTTCATCTAGACTACGGAGAATGGTTGAAAATATATGAAAAGTCTGCGGGAATTTGCATATCTTCATCTGATCACACTTTCAAAGCATAGTTAAGACGTGGCTTTTTCAGCGGAAACCCCACCCCTTTGTCGAAAAGCTGCGTAAACCTTCTTTTTTGAGGAAGAGCAGCTTTTCAACCGGGGGGGGGCTTTGCCAAAAAAGCGGCATCAGAGCTTTCGAAAGTGTGATCCGAAGAAGATATGCAAATTCCACGGGAATTTGAATATCTTCTTTCGACCATTCCCTGTGGTCTAGATGAGCCCTTTAAGTGGTGGGATTTGACCTTCTGACCATACAGAACAGAAGATCAGAGGCTACTAAATGAATAATTAATAGCTATTCTCACTTAAACTTCTTCCCAAACCATTATTGTGCTCAACCCTCATGAAACAGTTTTACTCTACTCTGTCATTTTAAAGCTGAGTGGTGATATTTGTTTCTCTGTCCTTATCAGTTCTTTCAAGTGTGCTTTATTTTATTACAGAGCAGAAAGTTAGACACGGAAGAATTAGGCTTACCTGATATATCTTCAGAAATTGCTGAGAAAATGGCCAGGTTTCATGCTATGAAAATGCCATTTAATAAAGAACCTAAATGGCTTTTTGGGACAATGGAAAAGTAAGTCTTCTCACTTTTTATTTTAAGTTTTTTATAAAATAGGTAAAAAAAAAGATAGCAGCCAATGACTATCTTAATGTGTAGAAGTCCAGCTGCTATTCAGAGTCCCTTCTATAATTTGACAAGTATTTTGTAGAGATAAAAGCTTTCTGTTTCTAAGCATCTTTATCTGAGGGAGCCCAGAAGACTTACTTAACTCTCCCCCCCCAGAAGCTTCTATTTGGTGTCTTGATTTTTGAAATATGTGGGGGGAGGGGTTAAATATTAAATTAAAGAAAAAGCTAAAAGTTCTCAACTGAAGTATAACTAATTCTGGACTTGGAATGTTAATATGTATTTAATCATAACATTTGTACCAAATTTAACTTAATTTTTTGGTTAGGTATCTAAATCAAGTACTGAGGATTAAATTTACTAGAGAATCCCGGATTAGAAAATTGAACAAAATCCTCAGTTACAATCTGCCACAGGAAATGAAAAGCCTAAGGTAAGATTTTTAGATTCTTTGCCACTGTTGTACGTTTAACTTCTGAATTATATATTCAGACTTCTGTGGTGGTAACACTTAAATAGTTATCGGAATTAAATAAACCTACAGGCCAAGAACTGATTCCTACAACCTCCACTGCTGATCCTTGTTGGAGCATGCTTGCGAACAGGTGTAATGATATACTGAGTTGATTGTAGTAGAGCCATACTAATGAGTGTCCTCATTTCTGTGCACTTAAATTCTCAGCCTACTTGCCACATTAAAATGTAGTTTTTGCCAGGAATACTATGAAAACTGGAGTTCATGCAAAAAACAAGTCTTATATTTAACTGGGTCTAGAAACATATTTTTTTTGTCTTAACTTTTTATTTGCCCTTTACTCTTTTTTCAGATCTATGCTTGAAGCTACTTCCTCACCAGTTGTCTTTTGCCACAATGACTGCCAGGAAGGTAGGATGGCATTACTTTGGAAATTTAGTTTCATACTGCAGTGTTAAGGAGTAGCCTTGGATTATTTCTTGTAGTTAACCATGCACACACAAAGCAAGAGTTTAAACCACAAAAACTGGATGGAGACTTGAGCTAAATGCTTGTCTTGTTTTAACTATAGGTAAGTGATGCTGCATAGTGAAAACATCATCACTTGGAACACTTACATTCAGATTTGATTCCCTAAAACATACACTATATGGACAAATTTTTCAGTGGCAAGCAGACTAAATGAATTTCTGTTAATCCTATAACTGGATTGTTTTACAAACTTTCTTGAACAAAATCTGAACTCTGAAACATTGAATTATGATGACGTGTTGAGTTGGGAGAAGATGCAGGGATTTGACAGACATGTTGCAAATTATATATAGGTATCCTGATGCCTTCATGTGTTACTTTCCTGTTTGTCAAAAGGAATGCCAGAATACTGGAGCAAACTTTAAAAAAACCAAAACTTTTTATTAATTCAGATGATACTACTTCAATAACCCCAGTAATTCTGCCACTTCATCTTTGTTTTCTCAAAACTCTTCTTTAGGTAACATCTTGCTTTTGGAAGGCAGAGAGGATTCTGAAAAACAAAAGCTAATGCTTATTGACTTTGAATACAGCAGCTATAATTACAGGTAAATTGTTCCAAACCTAGCAAGATTTTCCTGATGGGCAAGATTGGCACTTCTTTAAATAAACTATAATAAAAGGAAATAAGATTTTCTAAATCTAATCTTTTTCCAATAAGTTGTATTTCTGTACATTACATTGTGTCCTGCCTTTGATTCACCCAAACGTGCCTGAGGCTTTGAGTACAGGCTAAACTGGCAGTCTCATGGGTGCCTGCATCAGTGTATCTGAAATCTAATTCATCTGCAAAAATCTGAAAATCCAGAGGACTGCAGTTCAGTTCACACAGTGTTTGGCTTGTGGTGATGTGCTTCTTAGAAATGACTTTCCCCCCTAAATGGAGCAGAAAAGTGAATAAAAGCTCTTATTTAGAAAATACAAGAGATCTATTAACCAAAGTTGTGATCCTTAGTATTACACTTAAGTAATATCTAAAATCATTACTGCATAATTAAATACTCTGCTAAAATGACTTAGTTTTAATGTTAATCTTCTTAATTACATCCACTGTCCTGGTGTTTTTACCCAAACAGTTTCCTAGTAGTTTGCTTTCTTTTGAAATCAGTTGTTGCAGCAATCTTGCTCTAGCTCAGGAAGATCGAATTTTGTTACTCTGTTCGGCAGCTACTTCAAAGAACTCTTGCCCACATCCACCTACTAAGTTTAAAAAAAATGAGTTACTGGTGTTCTAAATGTATCCAAGTGCAGCACGAGCATCCACTTACTATACATGAACATCTGTGGAATTACAGAAAGTGCTAAATTAAACATAAGGGCTCCTGCTACTTGCTGCAACAGTAACTTCATGTTGCTTTCCCCCACCATTCCCCCAAGAGCTTGAACAGTCACAAACAGCTGGCTCTGGGAGGGCATGGGGAAGAGCAGGGGTTAATTGCAAATCAACGGATTTGTGGCTCTGAAAGTGCTGTGAGGAAGGGAGAGGAGTAAAGTGCAGGACTCCAGTGTACTAGAGGTACATGGCAGGAGGAGGGCAGGTGGGATCTACAGGCCACAGGTAGAACCCCTGTGGACTGCCCACTGAGATGGAGGACTATGTGGTCCACTCACTATTTATGGTTGGCAATTACTGCTCTAAATGTACTACTCTACTAAACTTGATCACAACAAACGGAATTGAACTCATTATGCAGGTGGTGTATTAGCCACTTGTATAGAGGTAGGTTTTTATTTAATCAAGTTGTATCATCTCCTGCATTCCTTAAATGCTGGCAAATAATTCTGTTCTTCAATATCTTGGACCTCTGTGGTATTTTGAGTTAAGGTCACAGATTCTAGGCTGAGAAACTCCACACAAAGAGCAGTATCAAGTTCTCTTGCATGAACAATAAGAACATGGGTATTATTTCTAACTTTTTTTTTAAACACAAAAGGCTCGTTGATGCGTCTTGCATGATTTGCTTTTACTGCCAATTCTAGCCTCTGTTCTCATTGTGCTGTATAAAAAAATTAAATAACAGTCTTGAAATTTTAAACGAGCAAATATGTAAATATTATGGAAATTTGAGGAACTCTGCCCTAACTACTGAATCACTCCTTTTCAGAGGATTTGATGTTGCAAATCACTTCTGTGAATGGATGTATGACTACACTTATGAAAAATACCCATTCTTTAAAGCCAGTTTTTTTAAGTATCCCACAAGGATGCAACAGGTAAGTGCATAACATTGAATGTACTTTCAAAACTTTCATTGCTGTCAGTAGTTTTTCCAGGTAGAACACTTACCATGGTCATTCATTTGCAAAGTTTGTCCTGATGTTCCTCTGGTTTCAGCTATGGGTTGAGACCAAAAGCAAAATAGTTAGGCAGAATATCAAAATGGTATCTTTTGAACTAATGGGATACTGTCTTTATATACTAAATTATTTATTTGTTGATGAGGCATTCTTATTTTGATTCTCAGGCTTTGAAATGATCCAAAATGGTTAATACTCAAACTTTTAATCTTGGAGAAAACTGGACTTCTAAAACTTTTAGCATGTTAATATTAACCATTCTTGAATGTAGGACTTATGTTTGTGTTCTCATGATCGCTATTGTCTTTAGCTTCATTTTATCTCCAGTTACCTTGCTGCATTCCATAATGGATTTGAAAATCTAAGTAATGAAGACAAGTCCAAAATGGAAGAAGATATGTTGATAGAAGTCAATAGGTGACTATTTATTTATATTTACTGTAGTGAGTAAAATTTTGGCGTTTTGCATACAGTCCATCTGCTTAACATTTACATTTGTGTCTTTTATGAATTCTGTTTCTTGCATCACCTGAGAAATTTCTAGTTAGGATTTGCATTAAATAGATTTTTATGGTAAATGAATTCTTGTTCCATGTCAGAACTCTTAAGGTGCAGTGCAAATAGTAAACTTCAGAAATTTACTGGTGACACTGCACAAATTAAATTATGCTATGAAAAACTATAAGAAAATAGGTGTATTTTCCATCTTTTTGGGGATTAGTCAGTGGGAAACGAATGTCATGACATATAACTGCTTGGGACAAGAAGTGTGTGTGTGTGTGTGTGTGTGTGTGTGTGTGATTGATTTTGACTCTAGGTTGGCTAGGTAATGCAATTAATGTGGGATGCCAGCAGTGTGTCCTTCAATAAACATTTTGCTTTGTAACTTACAGGTTTGCCCTGGCATCTCACTTCTTCTGGGGCCTATGGTCCATTATACAAGCAAAGATTTCATCCATTGAGTTTGGATACATGGTATGTTTTTAAGAGTAAAATCTTAACCTTTCTCTTTATTAAAAGTACTCCTTACTCTTAATGTACACTAAGATTTAAACTTAGTGCTTCATTCTTAAGAGATTCACCTGCTTCCTACTCATTTGGCTTTTCTTGAGTGTAATTGTCCACCCTCCTGCATCATTATAATGAATAAGTGAAATGTGATACTACTGTTAATAAGATAACTAACTTCCACTTCTGTTCAATACTAGACAGAACATTAGCAGAAATATTTTTTTAACACCAAACGATTAACGCTCCCAGACTCTTCCACCTATAGTTGAAAGTGTTGCAGCATCTGCCCTCCATAGTACTTGCCTTAACATGTAAACAGTGGATTCTTAGTTTTAATACTGTTGGTTCTGGAGCAGAAATTTTTTCCCCATAGCTTTCTTCTCAAACTTCTCTAGTAAGCTTCCTCTCTGGAACTAAGAATGGTAAAGATCTTAGTTTAGTTATAGGGAGAACTTGCTAATAAATGGTTTAGTACACTTGAACAGTATTATAGTATTGGCTGTAAGTCCTATTTTGTTGCTAAGGAAACTTACACTGACATGAATCTAGTACCCAAGAGTCAAGATGAGAAATGCTGCTAACCTGAGATGAGACTTGAATGTTGCTATTAAAGTTGCTTAAAGGGTCTCTTCCATTGCCCCCAAATGCTCTTGGAAGGTGAAGCCAGGAGAGTACAGAAATATTTAAAGCTATAGTCCTATTCGATAGTCTCTTAAGCTGCAGATAAGAATGTATGTACACCATGGCAGCACACAACTGACACTTTCTCAGGTAACTGATCATTTACTTCATTTTATTTAGGACTATGCACTCTCAAGATTTGATGCATACTTTGACCAGAAGAGGAAACTTAAAGTGTGAATATTGGAAGAATGGACAATCTTACTACTGTACTGTACAAAGAAAGCATCTGGACAGAACTTCCACTGTGCTTAGGCTACTGTATCTGTAATGAAGGCTTCAGTGGGTTCCAGGTTTTTTTGGAATGCAGATATACAATTGTGAAGACTCTACAAAAATCACTTGGTTTATTTGTTTACAGTTAAGAGAGTTTTGGAATGAGATTGGGAGGCAAAAGTATAATACAGCAGTGCAATATCTTGAAATCCTTTTAATCAAAAGGGTATTTTATATTATGGGGAAGCTTACAGTTTGTGGAATACCCACCTGCATCAAGAGCAAACAGTGTTACTGTTGGTACTTAATTTTTTATTTTTAGGGGTTGTATTGATATACTGGTGAATGTTATGTGACGGAAGACTTGTAGATGCATTGTAGACACTACTGGTCAATGGGAAGATCATTTGTGTCTGAAGACAATTGTTATACTGTGAAGCTGGCTGAAAGGCCTTACTGTGAGTTATTTGTATTAGCCTCATGTCCCTGAACATTGTCTCAAACAGCAAAGTGGTTAAAGGACACTAAAGCAATTTGCTGTCAAGTGCCATCTAAATATAGATGAATGTAGTTGTCATGTACATGTCTTTGTAGAATGAAATACAGATGAATCTTAAACTGGAAATTTCAAAGAGATTTGGGATGATGAGCTTATTCATTTTCACATCCTTCACCAAGAACATGCTTTTATTGGTCAGCCTGGCTATATAGCAGTGCTATACAATGTGCTGTATATGAAGCTCTCCAGGCTTGGCAACACTAGGATGAGTGCCTTGAATTACTCTAACCCCTCAATGGCATTAACAATCCTCCAGACTGGAGCCAGCCCTTTTCCTTAACTTGGGAGGTAGTAGCACACTATCAGTTTTAAGGAAGTTGTGTGAGGATGAAGGGAAATATTTGGAAGATCATCCCCTTTCCCTCAGAGCATGAAGAGAAGGGAGACAATTTTTTGACCAATTGAGGCATATAGTTGGCTTGTTGGGGCACTTTTTTAGTCTCCAACTTCCATCTTGTTCCAGCAGTCCAGTAGAGTGTGAAATGTTAACATGATGTTGAAAGATAGATATCTATATATGTCCTGTGAAATCTACAGCAGATATGTAAACATTCTCTGGAGAAATCTTTGGATTTTTTTTTTTTAATTTACTTTGGCCATTGTTATATTTGTGTTTGTGCTTTCTGGCAAGACATACTATATTACAATAAATTTTTTTAAATATTACCCTTACAGGCATGTGTGGAGGATAGTGTATCAGTACTTGAATGTGCCATGTGTCTGCTATACAGTGTGACTTCCAGTTGCCATTTCTGATTCTTTAGAGGGGCAGTTTGCAAATACTTTGAATTTGTAATCTCTTTAATTCAGTGGCTTTGGTTTTTGAAGTTGATGTTACTCCATAGAAATCCTACTCTTATTTTTAGCAATGAAAAATGAGTGCTGATTATCTGGGATTGACTCTCTAAGATCATATCCACTTTCAATTTCTCACCTTTATTAGCCTGCCCACAAAGATAGACTGGCTTAAATTGTCTAGTGAATCAGTCCAATCTGTGGCATTCCTTCCATGTAAAAGCTGAACATGATCCTCTCAACTTATTGTATATACTAGCAAACTTGAGTAGAAAATAGATGCACACTTGTGTGGCTTCTTAATTTTGTAACTAATTAGACAGTTTTTTCTTATGTGTAAAATCTCTCCCTTCCATGCTTTAGCAACCTAACATTTGTACAGAAATGTTAATGTGAAACAAATTGAGGCAAACATTCTAAATGTAGGAGAATGATCAAGTAGTAATGAACCTTAAACTATGCTGAAGGAGAAAAAGCAAAGATCCTTTTGGGTGAATGCAATGATAATTTTCAACTGTAGATACTTATTATGTGGGCTAAGTAATCAAACTCATTAAGGTAAATTTTGACAGCACAATTGGGTTTGTAAGCATTACACCAATAACACTTTCAGCATTGGACCTTTAATTACAACATGGAATTGAGGTGGTTTGCCAGTCAATAGAAGACCTTTCTAGTTGCCATAACATGCCAACTAACCTTTAGCAATACATGTACACTATGCTTACACCACACCTGAAATGTACTTATTCCATGGGAATACCAGTGCAATTTATTATACTTGGGATTGTCTCACATTCACCTAAATGCAGAGTGAGACCTATAGTTCATTTTCCAGAGACATTCCTCATGCGACAGTTACTCGCAGCATGCAGTTCACTGAACACTATAGAATTCTCTGTTAACCTCCCCCCTCAAATAGCTTCAGTGGAGGGGAAATGTTGATCCTTCTATACAATGTATGTACCCCTTTCTAATAAATTAAAAGGACTAGTAGAATTTTCAGGTGTTTGCTTTTGGCTTTACTGTTCCCATTGAAGTCCATGAATTTCTGAAAATCTCCCTAACTGTTCAAATAACCCAACAAGGACAAATTTACCTTCCTTCTTTGAACTGCTCTGGTTAATAGCATATAGGAGAACAAAGTCACTGAGTGACTTAGTATAACAGAAAAAAGACCTATGGTTCTCTATTTCCTAGAAATAGGAACTAATATTGATGAAAACTCTAGTGCAGACTTGCTTCTAGCATTCTTGATCACCAGCTTCAGAGGGGTAGCTGAGCTTCAAGGGGTAGCCAAGTTAGTCTGTTACAGAAAACAACAAATTGTCTGGTAGCGCTTTAAAGACTAACAAAACATGTAGATGGTATCATGAGCTTTCATGGCCACAGCCCACTTCTTCAGCTGACCCGAGTTAATCTGTAACTGGAAAAACTTAAACAACAAATAGTCTTGTAGCATCTTAGAGACTAACAACATGTAAATGGTATCATGAGCTTTGATAGACACAACCCACTTCTTTAGATAGAATTTATGTGAATGTTTTAATACAACTCTCTGCTCCAAGCAGGACCAACCCCAACTACATTATCCCAGTCAGGGCTTTGTCAAGCCTGTCTTAAACCTCCTATGGATGGAGATTTCACCACCTACACAACTCACTCCAGTGATTCACCACTCTCCTAGTGAAACCGTTACAGTACGTGTACACAGCAGGGCTAAAGTCAAATTATAGGCTATGCAACTTCAGCTACATCACTTGATGGTAGCTGAAGTTAAAAATAGCTTAATGTGGTTTTTGGTGCAGTCTACACAGCATTGACTCCTTGTGAAATGGTTACCATGAGTCAGTAAGAAGTCTTCCACCTAGACACTATTTCAAAATCAAGTCTGGTAGTGTAGATGTGCACTGTTACTTTGGAATAACATGTTATCCCGAAATAGCTTTCTATGCATTTTAACAGCATGCCTGTTATTTTGAAATACACTTGAAATAATGGGCTGCTTGTTGCACGAAGATTAAAGAAGATGCCAGAATAAAGATTAAAGAAGATGCCAGTGATTTATTTTGAAATTTGGTTGTGTAGACAGTGCCAGATTTTCAAATTAGCTATTTCAAAATAGGCTATGCCATTTGCATAGCTCAAAGTGTGTAGCTTATTTTGAGGTATGTGCTACTGTGTAGAAGCGCCCCAAGTGACATGATCTCTTCCATTCCAGCTTGAAACCCTGTCTCCTTGTTCTCTCATATGCCACAAATGAAAATAGCCTGACTCCATCCTTGAAAACCCCTCATCTCCTTCCCCCTCCCCCTTCAGATAGTTGGAGGTGACTTATTAAATCCTCCTTCCCGTACCCCATTCTTTTCTGCAGACTAAATGAGCCCAATTCCCTCAACCGTTCCTCAGTCATGTTCCCCAGCCCCCTAATCATTTTTGTTACCCTCCAAACTTTGGACACTCAAACTTGTTCACATCCTTTCTGTAGTGTGGGGGACTGGGTGCAATGCTAGAGATGTGGCCTCACCAGAGCTGACTAGATGGGAGTAATCACCTCCTTAATCTGCTGCCAATGCTCCTGTTAATGCAGCCCAATATGCTATTTGTATTCTTGGCAACAAGGGTATGCTATTGACTCATATCCAGCTTCTCATCCACTGTAATCCTCTAGTCCGTTTTTGTAGAAATGCCATTTCATTCCTAGCCTGTAACAGTGCTTGGGATTGTTATGTCCTAAGTGCAGAACTCTGCACTTGTCCTTGTTGAAACTCATCAGATTTCTTTGGGCCCAATCCTCTAATTTGTCTAGGTCACTCTGGACCCTATCCCTACTCTCCGGTTTAATCTACTTTTCCCTCTAGCTTATAGTCATCCACTAACTAGCTGAGGGTGCAATCCAACCTGTCATCCCAATCATTAAGATGTTGAACAAAACTGGTTCTGTGACCAATCCCTGGGGCACTCCACTTGATACCAGATGCCTGTTAGACATCATGCCATTGTCCACTACCCATTGAGCCCAATGATCTAGCTAACCTTCTATCCCGCTATAGACCATCAAATCCATGCTACTTTAATTGCTGGCAAGACTACTGAAAGACCATAAAGCTTTGCTAAAATCAAGGTGTATCATGTCCACTACCTTCCCCAAGCCACAGAACCAGTTTATATCATCCTAGAAGGCAATTAAGTTGAGCATGCAAGACTTGACTTTGGTGAATACATGTTATTCCTGTTGATCATCTTCTCCAAGTGCTTCAAAATGGATTCCTTGAGGACTTGCTCCATGATTTCCAGGTTTGAGGTGAGGCTGATTGGCTTGTCATTCCGCAGAGTAGTCTTCCATTTTTATCGTGTGTGTGTGGGGGGGGGGTACAGGAAGTGCAGGAGCTAAGAAGAACTGACTCCTCAATTTGACTGGGATGTCAGGTGGCATCCAAAGGCATCAATCTAAAAAAGGCAAAGCAATTTTTCAGGAAGACTAGAATTATAGGACCAGCAGCTAATTGTAAATGTATTTTTCCTTTCCCATTCCAGCAAGCCAGGGCATGCGCTACTCTCTCTCAAGCACAGGAGAGCTATTTATAAAAAAGTGAAAATAAAGTTGGCTACGCAGTTCGACAGGAGCAGTCAGTCAAAGTAAGGTTGATGATAAACTTTCTTCAGCATAGCAGGAAGTGGGGGGAGGAGGCATTATTTCCTGTCCCTTACAGAGACAATAAGGCTTTCAGGGATTCAACTCCTGAAAGATCACTGAGGAAGCATTGACAGCTCTCAGTGTACAGGATGTAGTTGGGATCATCTGTCATGCCAGACTGAATCCATGTGAAGCAGTAAATGAAGCAGTTCACCAGAGATGGATAAATAGCCCTAATGCTTCCAGAGTGAAATAGAACAAAGAAGTGCACTTACAGGGCCCTGGCATTGCATAGTAAGGAGCTACTGTAATAACTATCCAGGCAACAAAGCTGATCTGTAGCCAACTGCCTATTTGTTTCTCCAGATATGAAGCTGATTTTATTATGGGTCTGATTTTGAATATCCATATCTCCCACTAAGTATTAAGTGTGATTCCATTATCATACACAAACAGGGAAAGACTCTCCCCCATCCATCATAGAATAATACTCCTTAGACAATCATTTCCCATTTCATATGTGTGCAACTGGTTATTCCTACATGGAATACTTTGCATTTGTCCTTATTGAATTTCATCCTATTTACTTCAGACCATTTCTCCAGTTTGTCCAGATAATTTTGAATTATGACCCTATCGTCCAAAGTACTTGCAATCCTTCCTAGTTTGGTATCATCACAGACTTTATAAGTGTATTCTCTGTGCCATTATCTAAATCATCGATGAAGATATCAAACAGAACTGGACCAAGGACTGATCCCTGCAGAATCTCACTTGTCATGCCCTTCCAGCATGTCTGTGAACCGCTTATAACTAACTACCCCTTGAGAAATGGTGTCCAATCAGTTATGCACCCAGGTTATAGTAACTTCCTCTAGGTCAGGAGCAGGCAATAATTTTCTTAGGGGGAGAGGCGGGGGGGACTTCATGAGTTTTGGTATATGGACACAGCCCATCTCTGGGCCCCCAGAAGGGGTGGGGCCTCGGGCAGAAAGGGTGGGGCTAAGGGCTACAGAGAGAGTATGTGAGTGTGAAAAACAGGGACTTTGTGTATGAGACACAGACTTTGTGAAACAGATTGAGTGTGTGTCACAGACTGGGAGGGGTGCGACAGTGGCACAGAGAGTGTGTGTGCTGGCTGCTGCTGGGTAAGTTTCTGAGGGAAGCCACATGCTATTTCTAAATCTGTCCTGCTCTGTCTCCCCCCTCCTCTGCTCTGCACTCCTCTGAGTCACTTACCATCCACGCTCCAGACTAGGGATGTTACATTTTGATTAATCAAGTAGTTGATGGAATTTCCATCAACTACTTCATTAGTCGATAAGGGGGCACTCGCTATCCTGTTGCGCCTCTTCTTTTGAAATGTACAAAGAGCCACCGAGGCGCAGCAGTCAGGGCCCCACGTGAGTGGGGACTGCTTCGGTCCCCGTTTGCACAGGTTCCCTGCTGCACCTCTTCCTTTGGTTCCCCACTGCACCTCTTCCTTCCTTTCCTTCCTCTTGCTTCCTTCCATTTCAAAGGGAGCGGCACAGCAGACAGGACCCCGCACGAGCAGGGACTGCTTCGGTCCCCATTCGCACGGGTTCCCCACTGCGCCATTTCAAAGGCAGAGGCACAGCGGGGTAGCCAGCGCCCCCTTATCGACAGAGTTACGTACAATTCAGATTTTTAAATTGTGTAGCAAAGCTCAAGCTACTTGTGTAAGTCTATTTAAAATCATGATTGGCTCAGTGTCTATAACTTTTCCCATTTCCTCCTCAGTCAAGCACCCATCTCACCAGAGGCACTGACAGCCATGCCAGACCCCTGAGCAAGGCGAGAGGGGCTCTGTGCTAGGGCTGGGCCTCAGGCAGAAGGGTGGGGCTGGGGCAACCAGCTTTCTGTGCCACCTCGACTGCACCATGCCACCCCCTCTAACCCTTAGAGCTTCCCAGAGCATGCAGAGTGGTGTTCCAGCTGTGATTTTAAAGGGCCCAAGACTCTGGGCACTGCTGCTTACACAGTAGCAGCAGCTAGGAACTCCGGGTCTTTATTAGAATCGCTAAGCCCAGGACAGTTGCCTCCTTTCTCCTCCCCTCCCCTCCCCCCATCTCAGGTCAGCGAGCCTGAATCCTGCTCCCCCAGGAAGGATTTGAGCAATAGGCCTTGTAGCATGCCCAGACATTCCATAAATTTGGTCCTTGTCAGCTCAATGAGCGTAGAAAGTTGCAGAACTGAAGATCACTTACTTAAAAGGCCTGGCCACCAGCACTAGGCATGTCTACAGGATTGCAATACCAGCAGCTAGTGGCTTCTACCAGGAGCTGAGCCTTAGTGCACTAGATGCTGCACAACTACATAGGAAGAGACAGGTCTTCCCCAA